AGGATAAAACAGGGAGTGAGAGAGGGGGAGCAGTGTGAGGATAAAACGGGAGGTGAGAGAGAGGGAGCAGTGCAAGGATAAAATAGCGAGTGAGAGAGAGGGAGCAATGTGAGGATGAAAAAGCAAGTCTGAGGGAGCAGAGAGAGCAGTGACAGAATAAAAGAATGAGTTAGAAAGGCAGCGCTGCAGTGCAACAAAAAGCAAGGGTGCAGTGCAAAAGCGGCAAGAAGAGAAAGAGATAATACCGAGAGGATGACGTGAGACTGCACCTGGTGCTGGGAAATGAGGACCTAGTGTTAATGAGGCTGCTTTTGTGTTAGAGTGGTCATCGTAATATTAGGTTTAGGTAAGTAATGAAGGAGGAACAAGGAACAATCTTATATCAAACTTCGAAATTGGAAGAGGACTAATTTCAATATGATGAAATTGCAGCTTGGGGCGATCTTTCAGGAATTACCGTAGTCAGGGAGGGTCTAATGGTCTAAAATGGCTAATGTAACACCGCTGTTTATGAAGGGAGGAAGGCAGAAGACAGGAAATTATAGGCTGGTTAGCCTGACCTCGGTCATTGGTAAGATTTTAAAGAGTCCACTATTAAGGATGAGATTGCAGAGTACTTGGAAGTGCATGGTAAAACTGGACTGAATCAGTGCAACTTTGTCAAGGGAAGATCATACCTGGCAAATCTGTTTGAATTCTTTGAGGAGGTAACAAACAAATTAGAAAAAGGAGAGCCAGTGGACATGATCTATTTGGATTCCCAGAAGGCATCTGACAAGGTGCCACACAAGAGGCTGCTAAATAAGAAGCCATACTGTTAGGGGCAAGGTACACGCGTGGACAGAGGACTGGTTGACTGGCAGGATGCAGACAGCGGGGATAAAAGGAGTCATTTTCATGAAGAATAGAGGCGTAACTATTTTCTAAGGGGAAAGGCTTCAGAAATCTGAAGCACAAAGGGACTTAGGAATGCTAGTTCAGGATTCTCTCAAGGTTCAGTTGGCAGTTAGGAAGATAAATGCAATGTTACCATTCATTTCAAGAGGACTAGAATACAAGAAGAGGGATGTACTGCTGAGGCTGTATAAGACTCTAGTCAGACAGCATTTGGAATATTGAGAGCACTTTGGGCCCTGTATCTCAGGAAGGATGTGCCGGTGTTGGGAGGGGCGCCAGTGGGGGTTCACAAGAATGATCCGGAGATGAAGGACTTGTCATATGAGGAGCGGTTGAGGACTCTGGGTCTGTGGTCAATGGAGCTTAGAAGGATGAGGGTGGAATCTCTTTGAAGTTTGCAGAATACTGTGAAGACTAGATAGAATAGATGTGGGGAAGATGTCTCCACTAATAGGACAGATTTGGACCCAAGGGCACAGCCTCAGAGTGAAGAGATGAGGAGGAATTTCTTCAGCCAGTGGGTGGTGAATCTGTGGAACTCATTGCCGCAGAAGGCTGTGGAGGCCAAGTCATTGAGTCTATTTAAGACTGAGATGGACAGGTTCTTGATTGGTAAGCAAAACAAAGATTTTGGGGAGAAAGCAGAAGAATGTGATCAAGAAACATAGCAGCCATGATCGAATGGTGGAACAGTCTCACTGGGCCAAATGGCCTAATTCTGCTCCTATCTCTTATGATCTTATAGTTCATATCAGTGTACAATGTTACAGCCAATATCACGGAAGAGTTGTTTTTACATAAGGACTGTGGTTAAAAACGTTTCAAAATTCAGTACCAGAAAACCTCTGACATCAGTTATCTGAAACAAGCACAAAATCAAAGTTTGGCTACATCATCAAACCATATAATACTCAAAGACAACATGAGAGGGAAAGGCAACACATGATTGATGACCTGTTCATTATGAACATAACAGCTTTCTAACATCCTAGCTTTCAATTACACTCAAACTTCTAGCTTACAAGTCCACATATGAGAGCACTACAGACACTAACCCACAAAATGATATGAGCATTTTAAATTAGAAAGCACTTACCCCGAGTAACAGCATCTAGGGCACATCCAGATCCGGTTGCCCCTCCCCCAATAACAAGGATATCAAATTCCTTCACTGTCTTTAAGGTGTTCAGTTGAGAATCTCTTGACGGTAGTTGACGTTCAATATATTTTCCATTCAACTGTTCTGATGCTTGAACACAAGAAAGGCGAGCCTATGCAATTAAAACAGAATGGCAATGAATCAAGACTTCAGTGAATTTTTCACTTATGCCTAATTAAAGATACTGAGATGAGAGCATACTTTTGACAAGATTCTTTCAGCAGATATAAAACATGTTCATTAAATGAAATGACCACTTTATATTCAACATTCGTACCTTTTAAAAGACACTTTCCATTTTATTTTACATCTAATATGATCTTCAAAGTTTCCAGTATTGAGTTACAACAAAAGGTAGCACACCCAAGTATATTGCACATCGGAACAGTAGGGTGGATCATTTGTACTTTTTACCATAAACAAAATGATAAGCTAGAATTTACTTTAAAACAAAGCTTTTGAGTGGTACACATAATCATGTTGAATTTGTGACGCAGAAGAAACATCCCATAAGTTACAAATCAATGCATACAACTGGGCAATTTATGCTGCCTTGCCATTAGCTTTGTGAATACAACTTCTTTAATCTCCTCAAGAATATCATTAACTTACTGCATTTACACATTAATTGTCCATTAAATTTGACACAAAGTTTAATCTTTCAGTATCCTTTTAATAATGTGATAATTACTAATTACTTCCAATCAACCTCTCTGGCCCAGAAAATGATCAATTAAAAACGGAACCTTGTTCTTTCAGGCAATGAATTCCAGTTGGAGGTAATAGAAAATCAATTTTTAAGTCCTTTTTCATACTTTCCCTTTGCACATTTTCCCTATCTTAATCCAGTCATGTTCTCACCATTCCTTTCTACATGTTCTATTTTCAACATTGAATTGTTCAGCACTAATTCACCTGCCATCTTACTGCTACATCCAACATTTCTAAATCACTATCTCAGTGACTAAAATGATACTGCATCATTTTTAGCTTGCACTTACAGGTCAAAAAAAATGTTCAAGGGTGCAAGAAAGATATAACTAGCTAGGCATCCTGCAACAAATTTAAGGCTAATGTAACAGCACGTTACCCCCATAAGGGAGCTTTACCTCCAGCGCGATCCTCTCATTTATGAATTTAGTAAAGTGCTAGATGCAGAAAGGTACATTTACACAAATTACTGAAATACAAGAAGGATCTAACCCCCTCCAACAATACAGTCAACACTTTTATCCCTATTCATTTTATAGGAACACTACAACGTTTGTAATAATATATTTTCCCACTGAGCTCATTCTCGGGTAAATTACACATATCAAGGAACTGAGTGAGCAGCCACTTGTTTCATAGGATCATTCTGTAATTTAGCTATTTGCCCCTTGTCCGATATCATGTGTCCTGTCTTCCTGCAATGTTATTTGAATTTTGTTTACTGAATTTCTTGGAAACAATGTAGAAAACTTACTGGAGCATCCTCTTGCTGACTGCATTTTTGCTTTAAGTGCAACCTACTGGGAGCCCACCTTTCACCCAAAAGTGGATAAGGGGGCATGGGAGAGCAACCAAATAGACATGCATTCTACTTATTTTTTTTCCTTAGATAGTTTTTAAGGAAGACCCTGGCTCTCACCATAACCTCTTACCTGCATGGTTGAAGTGTCCCTTATTTAACTTCCAAAGAACTGGTCCCCAATTGCAGAATGCAGCCACTTGGTCATTTATGCCTCTATCATCTTTCTAAGTTGAGCAATTAATCGAATTCAACCCTGTTCTTCCATTCATTCTCTCCCCTTGACCACATATTTTTACCCTTTTAATAAGTAACTTGCAAAATGAAAAACAGAACCTTCAAAATATTTCGAGGTAACAAGGTGTAGAGCTGGATGAACACAGCAGGCCAAGCAGCATCAGAGGAACAGGAAAGCTGACGTTTTGGGCCTAGACCC